TCTCCAATCAGTGACGGACATGCTACTTTGGGGTACAACTCTGGGGCTTTCCCTGAAGAGTTGGGAGCGAGATGAAAATGACTATGATGAGGATTCCCCATTTACAGGAAAAGGAGGCTTACGGAGGTTTAAGTAAAGCATCTGAGGAGCTGAGCAGTGGTGACGCTGGGTATCGCTGGGTCTGTACGACCACCGAACCCATTGTTTCATGCTTCAGCACACCAAAAGTCCTACTCGGACAGTAGTAAGGATTCAGCACAGACAAGATCAGGCCCTATGGTTTCAACAGGTTAACAGCTCCCCAACCAAAGGTCATCCGATCATCGTGCCTGACCGGCCCAGAGGCTGCAGCCACATGGGAAGAGCTTGTGAGCCGTCAGACTTTGAGTGTGTATGCGCACGTGTGCACGTGTGTGCGTCATTGTGCACGCGTGTAAGATGGAAAGTGGTTGGGTGTGGGGGGGTGGGGAAGATACAAATATACATTAGCGTTCTTGGGCTCTAGTTCAAAACTATTCTCTGAAGTGCCAGAGCGCTGGTTTGTTTTGGAACGCTAATGCATTTTGGAAAAGAAAGAAAGAATTTTTAAAAGCAAGTCACCTCTCATCCTCTTTCTTCATTCACAGGGCCAGCAAAGTGGTATTTCTGGCAGGGGCTAGAGGCAGAAATACTCTATAAATACAAAGCCATTAAATCCCATGCAGCGGGAACCTGATCGGAGCCTCCTTTTAATTTCCTGACATGAGCTGGCCACTAACCCAATTACCCAGAATCCCCGCAGGAGCCCTCCGCCCGCCAAACAAGCACAAAGACAGTGAGAGCATATCGCATGGATGTCAGCCCAGCTTTCACTGAAATCAAATATCTTTTAGAAAACACTTGGGGAAAGCGAGGCAGGGGCCGAGGGAGGAGGAAAGGGAGCAGGACAGGGAGGCTGTCGGCCTGAGGCAGGTGAAGTGAGGTGAGGAGAAGTGAACCAGCAGGACCAGCCTTCGAGGGGGAGCTGCTGGAAGCCCGGAGCTATACTGAATGAAGCCTGAGGGCTCCCTGAGAAAGCCAGCGAGCAGTTTTCCAGGCTCTTCCAGGCTCTTCCGCTGAGAGGCTGTCAGGCCACACCGCAGCCGGGCCAGTTAGCCCGTCTCTCAGGGGAGAGCTTCTCCAGGGGTGTCCCAAGGGAGATGCTCATCCTGACTTTCGGCCCCAGACAGAGGGACAGCCCTGATGGGTACCACCTCTGAGATTCCCACCAGGGGATCCAAGAGGAAGATCGGGGCAGCCAGGGTGCCCGAGAGGTGACATCTTACAGCAGTCCCACAGCGGGTTTCACCAAGGAGCTGTTCCAGCTGGGCTGCACCCCGAACTCCACGGCCCTACAGGTGACAACACGGAGGCCCAGGAGCATGTGGAACAACACGCACGGCAAGATCCCCTCAGGGCCAGGAGGAGGGCGCAGGCACCAACTCCCAACCTAGTGTGGATTTTGTAGTCAACGTTTTATGAAGAGAAAAATCACTTTTATTCCCTCTGAAAATATAGACTTTCACACGCTGGATTTGCTTTAAGCGAGACAGACCCACGGGCATCACCTAACTACATTGCTCAGTCAATGATTCCAGAGCCTGCGGCGGCCTCAAGGCAGAGGCTAAGCCAAAGGAAGCCATGTGACCAGACATCTCCCCCCCACCCCCAGCCCCTGAGGTTGCTGGCCCCCTCCCCCATCATGAAACACTCTCGGGCTGTTTTACTTGAGAAAAGAAAACCTGTAAGAGACTTCTGGAGCTGCTGGGCAGAAGGCAGGAAACAGCCTTCAGATGTGTAGGTGGGATGGGGAGGAAGGGGAGCTGGCATTCCCATCCTTTCCCCGGCCTCCTATTACCCCCATAGCCATGTGCCAGACCCAGGACCCGGGCCTCCAGTCCCCCGTTCCTCCGCCCACTGTGGAAGCTTGCGGAGGAGCAGCAGCTCCTGGGAAGACTCGAGTCTGCCTTTCAGAGTCAGGTCAGCATGAGGGAAGCAGGGAGCCTGCGCCTGTCCCAGGGGCCTGGGCTCCTGCTCACCGAGTGGTGGGGGGACAACCAAACAAAAGCAGGAGCCAGGGAGGCTGCCAAGAGCCCCTGCCTGGCAGGGACCCAGGCGCCTTAATGAGGCAAGCTCCTAAGGGGGATGGTCCCCATGGAGCTTCTGATCGCAGGATCCCACCAAGGCTCAGCATTGCAGGGGCGGTGGGGGGCTGGGGAGAAACTAAATGGAGGCGCTGGGCTTTGTCCACACTCAGGTGCCTTTGTGTCACCCTGCCCCCTCTGGATTTGGAACTGCCAGCTCTGGGGGAGGGTGGAGGTGGGTGAGTGCCCCCTCCTCCTCCTCCAGGAAGTGCTCCAGAAAGGGCCTCACCAGGCTGGGGCCCAGGCAGTTTACCTCAGCACACCTGCCGCACCCCTGCCAGCAGTCTCAGATGCCCCTGGCTGCCACTGAAGAGAGAGGCCGTCCCGCACCCTTTCCTGCAACCGAGTCCTAGGCCAACCACAGGGCTACTTGGAGTAGAGGGAGGCCATGGTGGGGGCCCACCGTGCCCGTCTTCCCAAGGCAGAGTTCCTGTCAGGCCCACGTGCCCCGAGTACCCCACACTGTGGTCCAGGAACACACAGTATCTGCTTGGCTTCTCTGAAGCGGCCCACTGGGCACCTGAGCTGCCTTTGCCTCCAGTGTGCACTTGGCCACACGCACTTCTCTGCCACCAGTGGGTCCCCCTTGTCATTCCCCCATTCTGGGGGACCACTAGGAGGCACTCCCACTCTCTTCCCAGTACTGGGGAGTCCCTAAGGAGAGTCTTCGTCAGACACTGTCTTTAGAAAATGTCAGGGATTTCAAGTGGCGGTCCTCCCGTTTTCATCCCTCCTCCTCCCTCCCCTGCTCTCCAGGCCACAATCCAGGGCTGAGGGTGGGGTGGCCTGGGGTTGGGGCAGACTCAGCACAGAGCACCGGGAAGCTCCAGGCTCTGGGCCCAGCTCCCCACAAAATGCCAGGTGTCTGAAGGTGGGAGAGACCTCCAGCCCCAACCGCTCTGTAGGACTCAATTCTGTCATCCCTGAAATTCATAACGTGTTGCTAGCACGGCAGCTCCCCTCTGCCCTAAGTTCCTCAGATGCTGGGAAGCAAGCAGAGAGAGGCCACAACCTACAACCAGGAAAGGCCACTGGACAGCTGGCCCCTGACCTGCCCCAGCACCCTCACACCAACGTGGTGGCAGCCCCCATCCTCAGGACTCAGGAGCGAGGAGCCTACGACGTAGACATTGTGAGGCTGGTTTCCAGTAGCACATGGAGAAGGAAGTCAAGAGGCCAGCACCAAAGCAAATACCGACCACCTTTAAGCCTCCGTTTCCTCCCCCTGTGGGCCCCAGAAGGCTCTGGAGGAGCAGAATGAGCCCAGTGTCAGAGTCTGATGACCTAGTTCAGCCACCAGCATGGGTCACACCCTACAGCAAGGTTAAGACCAAAACCGTGTAGAATCAAAATGAACGAACTCACAATCTTTCAGCAGGTCTACGACAGCCCATTGTTAATCTAGAAAGAGGACTGTTCTTCGTTGACACCCCCCCCCCATGAAGCCCCTGGCATGTTTCTAACAGCTGAGCAGAATGAGAAAGGCGATTGCAAGGCCAACATGCCACGTGGGTGAGGGGTAGCAGAGGAACTGTGTCAGCAGCTTGTTTTAGAGGTCCACATGTGGGGCTGGGCCGGAGGGGGCTGCTGGAGATAGAAACCAGGGGAGGGGTCTCTGATTTCCGCAAGGTCCAGGTGGTCCTACCTACAAGGCATCCTAAAATTCGTGCCTTCTTCCCCGGTGGATGCAGGGAGAGGACAATGAGAGGAGTGCCGTGGGGCCCTCAAAGGCTGGGCTGGGCTTCCAGAAGCCCCCTCTCAGAGAAGGACTACATTCCAGACTTGCCTGTCCCTTCCCTTTCTCTCCCAGCCTCTCCCCATCATGCGATCATCAGCACACCCCTCTTTTCCCGCCTCTTTCCACTTCTGGAAGGATCCCAGGGCCCAGAATCATAAAAGCTGATGTGTAAGAACCTGCACCCACTCCCTCTAAAGCTCAGGCAGAGGAGAAACACGCGCACACACACACACACACACACACCCCATCCCCCAAAATGGTCCTCAACAAGGGTCATCCATCTGAGCACATCAACAGGGCAGGTGACGAGGAGCCCCAGTGCAGCGCCGTCCAAAGAAGGAGAGCCCCATGTCATTTGAAATTTGCGAGTAACCCCTTTAAAGACAATAAAAAGCAGCAGGTGATATTAACATCACGCTATCTTTTGTTTCACCCGATATATCCACCATATTACCACCTCAACATGCAATCAGTTTTTAAAAATAATTACTACACTATCGCATTACTCTACTTCTTATCATCCTGGCTAAGTGTTTGGAGCCCATGGCCTGTGCTTGAGGATGAGGTGGCGGGGAACTTGGGGGCGAACGGGACCTCCACACGGTGATGCCAGTTGTCTTGCCCACGTGCAGGAGAGCACAGCTACCCTGCTCAGGTGAAGAGGACATGCTCTGTCATTCTGGGCTTTAATGTCTGCTCTTTGGCCACCTAGACACAGGGCCCCACCAGGGAGAGCAGCATCTCAAGCCGACTGCCTCCAGGGCAAACTAGGGGCTCAACCCGAGAGGAGGGCCTTCCCCAGAGGGCCAAGCCAGCTTTTCGGGGCCCAGGTGGGGTCGGGGTTTTTCCAGAAGGATCCTGATGCCCCACATCTCCCTTCGGAGTGTAGCTCCAAGGCGGCTATAAACCACTGTGCAGGGTGTGTGTGAGGGAGGAGGGGTGGGTGCCCCCCGGGAACAGGGTCCTCATCTGGGATGTGGGCAGAGACATCCAGGGTCTGCACCAGCCCGGGGATAGGGACGCAGGGGCTCGAGACACCCCCCGCGAGTAGGGAGCCCAGGCCTCAGCGAGAGCGCAGCGTGACTGTGTGGGCCTCTTACCTTCCTTCAGCATCCCCACTTTGAGGCATTTCATGAAGCGGCAGGCCTGGCAGGACTTGCGCCTCCGTTTCGTGATCTCGCACTCGTTGGTGGCGGGGCAGCTGTACTCGATGTTCCCTGTAACCAGACACACACAGGGTTGCGGGCGGCATCCCGGGCCCCCTCGGCCAAGCACAGGCCGGCCGGGACCTACAACTGCCCCTCGTCCCGAGGTTCCCACAGGGCAGGGGCTCCCAAAACAGGTACTCTGAGGCGCTTGTCAAAATCTTTCCGCCTTCCTTCAACACAGAGATCCCAGAGTCCTGGGGGTCTGGGTGGGCCTGGCAGCCACAGCTTGGGAGAGTGGTCACCCCCAGCTCCGAAGGCACCCCTGAGCTAGCATTTTATCCCAGGCAGAGAACACGCCCTTGTGCTGACCAGGATGTAGGTGCAGACCACCCGTCCCTACGAACTCCAGCCCCAGGCCCCCAGTCAGGGGAAAAGCCTCTGGAAAGTTCTAGCCCCACAGGCCCCAGGCCTCTCAGCCTGCTGACCACGAGGAAATCACTTTCCTCTCGCAAAATATGTTTCCTCCTCTGCAAAGCCGTGGGCTAGCTCCAAAAAGAAAGATTAGCAAGATCACGGTTATGAGATTGCTTTCCCAACTATTAACACTGGTGCGCCTGACTGGCTCAGCTGGTGGAACATGGGACTCTTGGTATCAGGGTGGTGAGTTCAGGCCCCATGCAAGACGTGGAACTTACTTCAAAAAAAAAAAAAAAAAAAAAAAGTATAAAGCACGATTCAACATGGAACTGATGATTGTATAACCACAGTTCATTACTACAGAGGTGCGCTTGTGATCATTTTCTATCTCGTCCCTTTAATGAATTATAGTGACAGCTACCAGGAACCTGACCCACACTCCCACTGTTTACCACTCATACTCTAGCCGCCCTGAGGTCAGCCCCTGCCATGCAGAAGCCATGCAAGAAAAGCTGGTTGAGTGAGTCACCTACGGAATCCTTGGAGCAATCCCACCAAGCAGGTACTGATCCCGCCCCATCCTACAGAGAGGCTGCGACTGCCTTTCTAACACAGGACAGAGCCTCTGTCCTCCGTACTCTTACCTGTCTACAGTTACTTAACAAATATGCACTGTGCCACTATCAAAGAGAAAAGCAACAGAAGGGAAAGGGGGCGCAGAGTAGTTGGAGAGAAAGGCAACTGGAAGGTAAAATCCAAGACAGCGAGCAACCCCAGTGTTTTGTTTTTGTATGGTCTTCCTGGCAACTGTCCCAACCCGGTCCCAACCTCCAAAGCCTGTGGTTTTCAAAGAACATACACGGAACTAGCGCAAACCTCCTGTCCCCACCCCATTCAGATGCCCAGAAGGCTGTCTGCCCAATCCCCAATCCTGAGGCCCAGGGCCACTCCTTTGAAGCTGGGGTGCTGTTTGGCCCATCTCACACAGCAAGGACACTGCCCTGCACAGAGCAGCCTCAGAAAGGTCACTCCCAGCCTGAGACAGGGCTTGAAAGGGCAGTTCCAGGCCCACCTGGCCTCTGAATTCCCCTTCCCCCTCTGGCCCCAACCCCACCCCACCCCCACATTAGCAGTTCAAACAGTCACTTTTACCATGCCCCTGCTCAGGAGTGAGCCCACCCATGCCTCATTTCACAAACCTGAGACTGAGGGAGCCGAAATGAGTTACTCAAGGCCACAGAGTGCCTTCACCACCCTTGCACCCCACGGGAAGCTTAGGGAGACCAGATAGGCCCCTCCCTGCTGCTGACCCAGTAGCTGAAGTGGTCGGGAGAAGTCAGGGAGGGGGCTGCTTTCTAGTGTCCCTGTGCCTCAGCTTCCCCATGTGGCAGATGGAAAACACTGACTGTTGGATTTTCTGAGAGCTGGTAGGAACCAACTTCTACCCCCGACAAAGTGCTCTGAAGTAGTAAAATTGTTGAACCCCAAATGCAAGGTCAGTGCTCACAAGAGCTTAATCAGTAACCTTAGCCCCTTTCGTATTGGTGAGGAAGCTGCCCGTTTGCCTGGGGCACCTTAGATCTCTATCACTCAGTCTCTCCCCTCGCCCCTGTGAATTCTAGGCCTCACCATATCATCTTCCTCCCTCCCTCTTCCGGTGGGGGAGGGGAGACTAGAAGTCATGCTCTGTGCTGGAGGGTGGGAGAGGCCAGGAGGGGGAAGGGATAAAGATGCTGCTCGCCCCTCCCCTCTTTTATCCAATGCTGTCCCTGCCGTAGTTCACACTGGCTTTTGTGACTTCTTAGCAACGAGATTCAGTACTCCCATAGCACAGAGTTGAAAAGATAAACAGGAGGAAACAGATATAAACTAATTCATCCAAGTCTATCTTGGCTTGGAAGGAAGGCTCTGTAGAATTGGGCTCCGGCCGCCTTCCCACCCCATGCCTCGACTGAGCAGTTCCTGGAACTCAGTGAGGACCGAGGCTTCCAGGCCGCCTTTGTTCCAGCGGCCCAGAACAATCCCAGTGAGCTCCCTCCGCCACCTCACCTGGTGGCCTACACCTTCAGGACCCACTTAAGTAGCTGCTGCTTCTCCCTCTCGCCTGTGGGACTCCGGGTGCCTCCACCCACGTGGACAAGGGCTCCTCATGGAGCAGCCACGGCTCTGCTTTTCCTTTTCCCGACAACTCTGGAGGTGAACGCCTTCTTCCCTCCATTTCATAGCTGAGAGAGGTGAGCAGAGTCCAGCATGAGGCAGAGCGAGGACTTGAACCCAGATGGTCTGGCTCGAGTCTCGCTCCGGACCACTGTGCAGGGAGCTCTCCGGGCCCTTCACCTCCCCTGGTCTCAGCGGCACAGCCAGCCTGTCAGCCCTGGAAGGAGGATGGGTCCCAGGTTTGGCAGGATTGTTGCTCCAGCAGGGGGTCGATACAAGTCTGTTGATTTGGCACCGGTGCTCTCCCAGGACAAGAGGACTGAGCGTTCACAACAAGAACCTGAGCAATGGTCTCGACCTGGGTTTGTGTGTGTGTGTGTGAGAGAGAGAGAGAGAGAGAGAGAGTTCTAATTTTATTTATTTATTTTTGTCCCTTTCAATTTGCTTTATGGCCCCAGCGGCTGGTTGCCAGCAAAGCCAGGCTGGTGGCCTTGCCTTGTAATTTCTGTAAGTGCCTCCTCGATAAAGTGATGAGATTAATTCATCAGAATTCCTGTGGTCTCTGGAGGGCAGTGTAGGAGCGCTCAGGGAGCAGGGAGGGGCCTCTGTGGTACGTACGTGGACACACACACCCACACACACACCACCAGCAGCAGCTGAAGTGGAGCAGTCTTGGAGGTGGGCTCTCAGAGGACAAGGACACCGTCAGTAGCTGGCATAAATCCGGAGTTCTAACACCTGAGTGTGCCCAGCATAGACACAGGCAGACACTACATCAGGCAAGTCACCGAACTTCTCTGGGCCCCTTTCCTCATCTGTAAAATGGGCACAGCACATTCCCCCCTTCTAAAGCTGTGTGATACAGGGACAGAACGCACGTAAAGGGCTTAGTGAGGTAAACATGTGGGCAAACAAGGAACCAAGGCCACTGTACTTGCTTTCAATGCAAGCAGAGCTGCCACAGTGAATTCAGCAGAAGACTCCCGGCTAAGTCTTTCCTAGGTGCCAGACGGGAGACTAGCCACCCGTTCTGACATTCAAGAACCTCAAGACCCATAATGACCTCAGAGTTGGAGTGCCTGCACCTGTGGTGTGGAGGGGAGGCAGGAATGCCTGGAAACTGGCCTGGACTTCCGCAGCACCTCTGACCTCAAGGCAGAGGGGAAATCCCCACCATCAGCTCTCTTTGATCCTGTGCCCCAGAAGGAAACCCTGAGGGCATCCCCATCAGCTGTCCCTGAGCAGCTGCAGGCAGCGGGCAGTCCTTTCTCAGGACTCCGAAGTGGTGCTGCAGAGCTCAGATAGGGCTCCTGGGGGATGCATGTCTCAGAGGCTTCTGGCTAACATCAGAGCCTGAACGACTTAGGTCACTGCTTGGAAGGGCTGGGATGGCAGTCACCTGGTTAAACCCCCCTATTTCTCTCTCTTCTGGGGGACACAGACTCTCTTTTTCTTCTCTGTGTGGCCCACTGTCCTCATCTCCATACCCTTCCCCTCCTCCTTCCCCGCTGGCTGGCTGATCTCATTCCTGCCACTGGCTCCCGCTGACATACTGGGTCCAAGAGACCCTGCCAGTGCCTCCCTCTACCTCTTGGCTATTTCCACTCAGAAGTCCCTCGGGTTCCTCACACTTCCTCAACGGACACCTGGTCTGCTCCTCTCACTGTGGCCACAGCAAGGATCACTAAGCCTCCCCATTGTCTAGGTCAAAAATTGAGGCAGCCTGGGTTCTTCCCCCTCCTTCAGTCCTAAGATCCTCTCATCGTACTCGATTCATGTCACATCCCTCCTTCCCCTCTGCCCACAGCAAGTACCCACACTCATCACCTCTTACCTCACGTCTATGCACTCGCCTTTCTCTCCAGGTCCCATTCCAGTTTACCCCCCACACCGCACCTGGAGCAACGTTAACAACTTTTCTGTGCAAAACTCCTCCATCCTGGCATGCTGAATGGCAGCATGGGAGTGAGAACTGCCGCAGAAGAATGGACAAAGCGAAAAAACCAAAGTAGCTAGGGGAGCCTGGTGGAGTTGGCTGTGTCCAACTCTTGATTTTGGCTTGGGTCGTGATCTTGGGGTTATGGGGTTGAACCCCCGAGTCAGGCCCTGTGCTGAGCCTGCTTGAGATTCTCTGTCTCTCCCTCTCAACCCCCCAGGTACTCACTCTTTCAAAAAAACAACACAAAACAAAAGCCAACCAACCAACCCTAAAAAACTAAAGTAGCCAAAGAAGGAGCTCTAGCTGACAAAGCATTTGTACTGCAGAACCTCAGAAAGCCTCGGGCATTGAGGACTCAAGATACAGAAGATTTAATGGAGTGTAAAAGCCAGAAACAGGGGAATTTGCTAATCTGTATTTAGAGAGTACTTAGCTACCAAGTACTTGGTAGGGTTGTGGCCACCAAGGAGTGGTCCACAACCCCCTGCAGAGAAGCCAGCTTAATCCCTGGGGAATAGGAGAAAGTCAAGTTCTAGACTTAAGATACTCAGACTCG